CTTTGCGGGGAGCCGCGGGGGCAGCGTCGCGCCCTGCGCTCACCTCCCACGCGCCGCCCGCGGCGCCGCGGAGGATGGAGATTAAAGGGTAAACTCCAGGGCTCGGCCATCCGCTGCTACAGGATGCGAGCGCTTTCTAATTGTCCTCAATTAGAGACAGTGCCATTGCTCAGGCAGGCTGCGGGCAGGAAGCAGAGCCGGGCGCGCTCCGCTGGGAAGCGCTACCTATCCCAGAGCGGCCCCAGGGGCTGGGCTCAGCTCCCGGGCAGGAGATGGGCAGGTTTTCCTGGGGGCAGGAGCGGCTAAACCAGGGAAGTGAGGAGGGAGAGCAGCCTGGGGCCGAGTTAACCCTTTCCCGCTTGCTCCTAGGATGAGACCTCGGTGAGCAGCGAGGACTTTGACATGAACGACTCCACATGGATCTCAGCTGACCAGCACCTCGCGCCCAGCCTGAGCCCCAGCCAGGACGAGAGCATGCGCAGCCCGCAGCCCCTGCCCGGCCCGGAGGACGGTGAGCGCGCGGGCGGCCTAGCGCCTCTGCGTCTCCGGACACGCACGATCGGGTGTCCCGCCTGGAGGATGGATCTCCTGACAGCTCAGGCTGTTAGCAGCGCGCTCTCCCAGGCCTTCCCATTCAGCCTGTTGGCTCCCGCTCGGAGAGGCCCTTCCCAAGCCTGTGCCGATGGTTGTTGTGCGGGGACTGCGCTCCCGGCACCTCCAGGGGGGATTTGCCAACCCCACTTGTGAGGGACTGGGTTTCCCCAGGTGATGTTCTGACCTGCAGGTCCAGCACCTTTGTCTTACGCAGACACTTTGCAGTGGGGACCACGGTGTCCCACACCCGGACAGTTGCACCTTGGGCAAACTCGTGCTTGATTCCCCAAGGAAAACGCGCGGAACCAGCCAGAGCTGAGCGTGCTGAGAGCGGCCGAGGGTCGGGGTGTCCCTGCCTGGTGCCGGCTCAGGAGGGACGGAGGTGCCACGCGCCGCGTGCGGCCGGGCACGCTCGGTGCGAGACGGTGGGTTGGTTCTGCGAGACGAGCTCCGCTGGAGAAATGAGCGGGTAAATAAGTGGCAGAAGTAGGAGCTCGGGTCAGAGTGCGTCTCCGTGATGCTTGGAAGGCTCTGGTCGTTAGACTGTTACTTGGCTTTTGCTCGGGAGCTTGAATCCCTCATTGTCTCCAATGCAGAGGCTGCTGGAAGAGCAGGAAGGGAGCAGAGGAGGCAAGGGACAACTCGGATCGGGTCAGTGTTGCTTTAAGAAAGGGGCCTGGAAAACCACCCCAGAGGAAAGAAAGGGCTTTTGTGCTGGCAGGTCTCCCTGGGGTGGCTCTTAGCCACTTGTGTGGCCAGCGGCAGGCATGGGGCCCTGCTGCTTTTTTTTTTTCCG